TTTGTAAATTAGTGTATATCTTTTTTAAGCTAACAAAAAGAATAAAGGAACTAAAGAATTTTGATTGTTTTTTATTTCTAGATTTATTACTATGACTGATCAAAAGACTGGAGAAAAAAAACAAGAAATAAAAATCAGAACCATATAACTGGAATCGTGAATTTGCCTAAGGTAAAAAGATTGCAAGCTGTATAAATAAAATATTAGTAGAATTATCCACAATTTATTATAAAGATAAAAATAATTATTCAAAAACTGAGTTGGCAAGTAATTTATGATAACAAAATGATTGACCTACCTAAGCTAAGAGTTATAACAAAAAATGAATTTGTTGAGCTTATTAAAAAAATTGAAAAGCAGAAATCAACAGATAATAATGATTATTATAAGCTAGCTGATGAAAACTTAAAAGAATTAGAAGAGAGCTTTTAAAATTATATAGTTCATGATTAAATTTGATTTCTATTAATGCAAATTATTTATACACTTAAGTTTTCTTGTAGTTTAAATTATTATTAAAATTCATTTATATATTGCTTGTTTTTGCTTTATTTAATAAATTAATTATTTAAAATATATTTAAATTAGCAATACAAATTAATAAAAAATAAAAAAAGACCAGAAGCTAGATTTTATTTTTATATAAATAAATAAATAAAACATGAGAAAAATACTTTTTTTATTTGCTAATTCTATTATAAAATTTGTAATAATTTTGATTCAAAGAATTAATTTGTGTATCTGTCTTTTAGCTTTTGATTAGACACTTATTAGCTATATGATTTATGAGTGTTATACAGTACTACAATTCTATGATTGATTTTTTGAGTTTAATACTAATCAACTATTTAAAAATAAAATAAGTTTTAATTTTTATATTGCTTTATCTATATCTTTCTCTAGTGTTTACAATTAGTCAATATATTTTTTTATATTAGAGAATATATAGTTAATTAATATAAAAATTATTTACTACATACTAATGAAAATAAAAATTTAAATTAAATCAAGCAATAAAGCTATTTTAAAAAATGAATTTCATTAGAAAAATAATTAAACTTCATCAAACAATTATCAAAATCTATATATAGTTAAGGGCTTGACTATATTTATATATTTTTTAATTTAAGAATTATCTAATTTGGATACATTTTAATAGTTTAGTTTTTTTTCTAAAAAAAAATTATTTTTAGACAATGGTTTTAAAAAAATTAAAGCCAAAAAAATTTTTGAACATGTTTAATATATTAATATAATAATATATTAATTGATAATCTACCTATCAACTGGAGAATAGACAAAATATAACGTCTTCAATTTAAAACTTTTTTCTTACTAAGTTAACGATACATGCCCACTAATTGAAAATTGTAGAGCTCGTTGAGACGCATCTAACGGTGATTAGATAATCCAAATCGGCCCAGTGGATGGCGAGATATCGTTGATGAATGATTGGCTGACTATATAAAAATCCATGACGGAAATTATATATAAAAATTACTATTGGCAAAATGTGGCGAGCTTCAATCTAAAACTTTTTTCTTACTAAGTTAATGATACATGCTTACTGATTAAAAGTTGTAGAGCTCATCGAGACGCATCTAATGGTGGTTAGATCATCCAAATCGGCCTGGTGGATGGCGAGATATCATTGAAAAACGATTGGCCGACTATATAAAATCTCTATATAAACAATGTTTGTTTACATAGAGATTTTATATAGTCAGCCAATCGTTTTTCAACGATATCTCGCCATCCACCAGGCCGATTTTGATGATCTAACTACTGTTATATGTGTCTCAACGAGCTCTACAACATTCAATTAGTAAGCATGTATCATTAACTTAGTAAGAAAAAGTTTTAGATTGAAGCTCGCCATATTTCGCCAATAGTGATTTTTATATGTAATTTCCATCACAGATTTTTATATAGTTGACCAATCATTCATCAATGATATCTTGCCATCTACTAGGCCGATTTGGATGATCTAATCACCGTTAGATACATCTCGACGAGCTCTACAATTTTTAATTAGTGGGCATGTATCATTAACTTAGTAAGAAAAAAAGTTTAAATGAAAGACATTACATTTCATCTATTCTCTAGTTGATAAACGAATTATCAATTAAATCTATAAATAAATATTATTTAAATTTATATTACTTGTAGTTAATTATCTTTTTTCAAATTTGAAAGAGTGTTTGGCAAGGCACTCTACCAACCAGACTGCCAGAAAAGTAACCAGAAAAAAAGGACCCAACCGTAGAAACCAAAAGCAGATTACACTGGTCAAAATTAAAATATAAACTAAATATCATCAAGCAATCATCTAATCGATAGCTGGCCGATAATTTGGTGGCTGCTATAAGATTAGAAGGAAGTAAAAATAAGCC